AGAGAAACAACCACCAAATCAATCTCTTTCATGCATATCTCATTCAGTACCATCTCAAGATGATTATTATATATTATTATCAACAGCAAATTTGTTTATATTTGATAAAAATAATAAACCACACAAGTGTCGTGCGTTGCTGGACAATTGCAGTCAGTCGAATTTCATATCCCAAGATTTATGTGACAAATTACAACTTCCAATCTCAAGAATCATTCATGAAGTGGAAGGATTCGGTTCAAATGTCACGTCAATATTTCAGAAAACTAGAACTTCAATCAAATCAACTATTAATTCCTTCAAACTAAAAGACATCACATTTTTGATATCACCTCAAATTGCTAAAGATTTGCCTTCTCTATCATTTGATAAAGAACAACTCAATATTCCCTCAAATATAGTTTTAGCTGACGATAATTTCAACAAATCAAGACCTATTGACTTGTTAATAGGAGCGTCTATATTTTGGAAGCTGATTTGCATAGGTCAATTCACTCTCGCAAATGAACATACTATACTACAAAAAACTAATTTAGGCTGGATATTGTCTGGACCTTTACCACTCAAACACACTTCAATTCCCAAGTCAGTTTGTAATCTATCTATAAATAACCAAGATTTACATGATCAACTAGAGCGGTTCTGGAAACATGAGGAATGTTTTCAAGATCCACAAGGATTGAATCCAACATACTCAAACGAAGAAAAAGACTGCGAGAAGCTTTTTTCTGAAACAACTATTCGAGATCAATACGGGAAATATATTGTAAAGCTTCCTCTCAAGGAAAATGTTAATCAACTAGGAAATTCATTTGATACAGCCTTAAAAAGATTTTATTCTATCGAGAGAAAATTGGGCAATAATTCTGATTTTAAAAAGTTATATAATTCATTCATGAAGGAATATGAAGATCTTGGTCATATGACAAAGGTTTGTGCAAAAGATTGGGACAGTCAATTCCCCGTCTTCTATTTACCACATCATGGGGTGATGAGAGAGGCAAGTTCTACTACGAAGCTTCGTGTTGTGTTTGACGGTTCCTCAAAGACATCCAGTGGTCTTTCTCTCAACGACGTGTTGAAAGTTGGTCCCACAATTCAGGATGATTTATTCACTATTGTAACTAGATTTCGAACATATGATTATGTTGTTTCTGCCGATATTGAAAAAATGTATCGGATGGTATTAATTGATCATTCACAACGAGATTTACAACGTATTCTATGGCGTTCTGATCCATCAGAACCTATTGATCATTTTCAACTTAATACTGTGACATACGGCACTGCCAGTGCATCATTCCTTGCAATGAGAGCTCTACAGCAGGTAGGTTTAGATAATAAAGATAAATATCCCTCAGCCTCTGAAATAATCATGAACAGTTTTTATGTTGATGATTTATTGACAGGTTTCAATTCAATTGAAAGGGGCAAGAAAGTTTTATCAGATCTCATTCTCATTCTTAAGGCAGCAGGATTCAATTTGCGAAAATTTGTTACTAATAATCCTAATATTTTTCATGACATTACCAATACTATATCAGATTTTCCAGAAAAATTCATCTCAGATGATAAAGTCATCAAGACTTTGGGCTTGAGTTGGGATTCTCATAAGGATACACTTCAATATAAAGTAAATTTGAGTCCAAGTAAATGTATTACAAAACGCATGATATTATCAGTGTCATCACAAATATTCGATCCATTAGGCCTTGTTGGCCCATGTACTATTAAAGATAAACTTTTAATTCAGAAAATATGGCAACTTGGTTTGAACTGGGATGAAAGTCTTCCCATGGAATTGCATGAATCATGGTTGCAATTCTTAGAACAACTCCATTTTTTGAATGATATAAAGATCTTTAGGCATGTAATTTGTTCAAACCCATATTCCATTGAACTGCATTGTTTCAGTGATGCATCTCAGAAGGCTTATGGTGCTTGTTGTTATTTACGCTCCACTAATCAATTTGGTGAAACATATGTTCATTTGGTATGTGCCAAATCGCGAGTTTCTCCGCTCAAAACTATTTCTTTGCCTAGGCTTGAACTCTGTGGAGCAGTTCTTCTGATCAGACTTACACTCAAGGTTCTCAAAGCATTACATAACATCAATATCAATAAAATACAGTACTGGACAGATTCCACCATTGTATTATCTTGGATTAATGCAGCACCAAATACTTTACAAACTTTTATTGCAAACCGTGTGGCAGAAATTCAAAATAATTCAACAAATGATCAATGGAGTCATATTTCTAGTGGTGATAATCCAGCTGACGTCATATCCAGAGGTTTAAATCCTTATGATTTAATATTTCATTCAATATGGTGGTCAGGACCTGACTGGTTATCTAAACAAAAAGCATGCTGGCCAACATCTAAAAACTTAATTTTACCTGAACCATTAGAGCAGAAAAGAAAAGATTTCACATTCATTATTCGGTCTAATGATTTCCAAAATATTCTCGATTGCTATTCATCTATCCATAAATTACAAGGCACAATAGCTTATTGCTTTAGATTTGTCAAAAACTCAAAACTTTCAGACAAGTCAAATAGACAAGTCGGCCCACTGACTAATTCAGAATTAGAAAATTCATTAATATCCTTGTGTAAATTAGTTCAAGAACATTCATTTCCTTCAGAATTGCACTCCTTGAAAAAGGATAACATGGTAATGACAAACAGTAAAATCATTTCACTCAGTCCCTTTTTAGATCAAAATGGTGTAATAAGAGTAGGAGGTCGATTGAAAAACGCAAATATTCTGTATGAACAAAAACACCCGATTATTTTACCTAGCGAAGGAAATTTCACAAAATTGATAATTAAGCGAGAACACAATAGGTTATTACACGCAGGCGCGCAAGCCACATTAGCTTCTATCAGATTACAATTTTGGCCCTTGAATGGTCGCAATACAGTTCGTGGAGTTATTAGAAAATGTGTGACTTGTTTCAAGGCTAAACCTAGTGATGTAAAATATAAAATGGGAGATTTGCCCCGGTCAAGGATCATTCCGCACAGGGCTTTCTTAACTGTCGGTGTGGACTTTGCTGGGCCTCTGTTTATCAAGGATAGCAAAATTAGACGCAAACAAATGCCAATCATAAAATGTTATTTATGTATTTTTGTATGCTTCATCACTAAGGCTACTCACATTGAATTCAGAATCAGATGATTTATCAACAAACGCATTTCTGAACTGTTTGAAACGATTCGTGTCCAGAAGAGGTATTTGCACTAACATTTATTCCGACAATGGATCAAATTTCATTGGAGCACAAAGGGAATTGAAATCTATATTGAAAGCACTCGAGGTAAGTAGAGATTTCAAGGAATTCTTAAATCTCAATAGAATACAATGGCATTTCTCGCCACCACATGCACCAAATTTCAATGGTTTGACTGAAGCTTGTGTCAAATCTTTCAAATACCATATCAAAAGAATCATCGGAAATGCGCATTTAACATTTGAAGGTTTATACACAGTTATAACTCAGGTTGAAGCAGTTCTTAATTCGAGACCTCTGATTCCTTTATCCCACGATCCTAATGACCTTGATGCCCTGACTCCTTCCCATTTCCTTATTGGCGAGCCCTTATGTGCTATTCCTCAAGAAGATGTCAGAACAGTAACTTCAAATCGCTTATCCCATTTCCAACTACTTCAACAATACCTACAGCACTTTTGGCAAAGGTGGTCACACGAATATCTATCACATCTACAAGAGAGAGCTAAATGGGAAAAATCATTTCCAAACGTTCAGGTTGGTGCTTTGGTACTCCTCAAGGATGAAAACTCAGCTCCTTTGTGTTGGAAGCTGGCGAGAGTTGTGGAGGTGTTCCCAGGCGACGATGGTATTGTTCGTGTAGTGAATGTTAAAACCAATGCTGGTATTTACAAAAGAGCAGTGTCTAAAGTGTGTGTTTTGCCGATAGGTACTTGATTTGATTCGTAAAATTCTTTGATGATTGTTCATTGTTTATGTACTTTGATGCTTTGAAAGCCAATCCTTTCAAGGGGGGCGGTATGTACAATTCCATAATTATTAATAATTTTCTTATAATAATCTAAGACCCAGTATTCATTCATGAGCAACGGGATTCTCTTGTGTAATCCGTATATGAATGTAATCAAAATAGTTACGAAACTTTTGTTTAATATTTGTCGAGTTGTTATGTACGAAAGATGACATGTAATGTCAATTTGTAATAAAATATTGTCTGAAAAAAAGTTTGATATTCATTCAGTCATATTCATCGTCAATCTCATAGTCTCAATACAGTCCATATCACATTACTCAAGATTCAAGGAATTAGTGAAAACTATCACGAAATTCTACACTCAGATATAACCATAGATAAAATTGATTCAAGTTTCCTCAAAAATTCCTGCTCTGATGCAGTACGGTAAATGCATAAAATAATCGCTTTGCACTTATTTAACTCAATTTCCACTGCCGCGCATTCGAATACTGCGACTTCTGATATTCTCACAATATCACTCCGCATCTTCCAATTGGTTCCGGTCTTTATAAAAATTGCTGTTCCACCATGGGCATTCTCATTTCTGCAGTAAGCAGAATTTAACTGATAACCTGTTAGGTTGTAGTTATTGAGTTGGTTTTCCGATTTCCAATGTTCACTTACACATAAAACAATACAATCTGAATGATTATCAAGTGTTTCTTGTACTCCATCTAGACAGTTGCCAATAGACTGTAGGTTATGGTGAATAATACTGCAGGTGATTTCATTATTTTCATTGACTAGTTTTCTGCTTGAATTTCCATTGAGTTCCTCTTTATTACTGGACTCACCAACTACCCCTGTGCTTGTGGTGCAGTCCTTTTTTTCACAAAAAAACGCGATACAAGAGCACCGCTTGGCCATACTTCACGTTTCCAGGCTTTAGTGAAATTTTCTTGCTTGATAGTTACTTTCATGGATGTATACAGCTCGGGCAATTTGGATTGGTGTTGTTCACACATTACTTCTGGAAAGTGTTTTTTAAGAACCTTCTTCAAATCATCAGCGTTTGTATCTGGACTGAGGCGTGTGACATGTAGTGATACCATTTTGGGTACAGTACTGATGCTTGAGTTCTCTTCATTACCACCTATCATGTATCTTCTGTTATTCTTGAAGTCCTTTCTGTACGAAACTTTCTCCCATTTTTGTTCATCTCTCGGTTCATTTGTATGGGCTCCTAACTCCTGTACCTCATGCATTTTGCTGTTTGTTGCAGCTGTCAAGATTGCAGCATTAACTTCTTCATGCGTGAAAGTTTCCTTCGAATTAAATGCCATCTTTTTGTTATCAGCTACTGAACTATAAGTAGCTTGTGTTGGTAAATCCGAGGATGATTCATTCATGATAGGAATCTCGACATGATTCGTTTGACGAATTTTTACTGATAATTTGCATTTATCAGAATTAGCGTTTTTGCTTGTGTTATCCGCTTTTTCTTCATATCTACTGAGTTTGTCAGTTAGAAAAACTATTTTGTCTCTTAGCAAACCGCAATTTTCGTTGAGGATATCGCATTTAGATTCAACTTCTTGCAATAGTTTACGCAAGAGCTTATTTTCCACTGCATATGGGTTTACTTCTAATTCTGCTTGTACATACCCTGCGCCATCCACTTTATTATCAAACGATGGACTTTTGATTTCATGCCGACATAATGCACTTTTCATTTGTGCTGCTTGTACCATGCAGCTTGGATGAAAGATCTCCATGCATCTGTAGCACTTCACTGAATTCACAACTATTTTTTTGCAATGTTTACACTCATTTTTGGTCTCCGCATATAACAACGACCCGCTCACTTCCGCCATCTTCGATCGTCTCTCTATCAACTTCATTGAATACATATCGTGGGTCATCTCACGTAATGACGTATCTCATAGAAATCGGAATCTGAGATACTTCGTCAAGTGATTTATATTCTTGTACTTCATGATCTCACAAAGTGGCGTAACTCAATATTCAATGGTTTTCGTGCAATTGAAAATCCAATACCCAGCCTATCTCAAATTATTGGACTACCGAATCTCACGAAGTGACCTAACTATAGGAGTTACGTCAGTACGTGAGATATATTTTCATTATGTGTTGAAAATGTCGAAAGTGACGTATCTCACATAGGGTTTGTCGCGGAAATCAAAATATCTTGGGTGACGTATATCAAGGTACTGAAAGGAGGATTGTGTACAAGTGGAATGAATTTCTGTGTTTTCATCAATAAAAATGGATATTCAGATCTGTTATTCATTTGAATTCACTCGATATCCATGGGTGTATCTGAGGCTCCATTAACAAACATGATCTCACGTAGTGACGTATCTCATAACTTTTTTTTTTTCGTTTTTGTGGATGCTTTTTCGAAATCCCACCATATCATGACAACTAGTTCCAGTTCATCCACTGATAAATGAAAAAATAATGATCTTTTATGAACAACCCTCTGAAATATGAGCTATTAAGATGTTGAAAATCTTTGAACTGCTCTGCTGTGAAATTAGGAAAACTGAGATGCGTCACTACGTGAGATGATCGTCGATATGGTTGACTGAAATGAGCAAGTCAAACATTGGTGAGACATTTGATACAGATGACAATTCTTTCAGGTAATATGGAAGTGGATAAGTAACAATAACCATATACAGGGTGTTCGTTGAACCATGGATCATACTCTTGCTTGTGATAGACAAGCCCATAACCTATCGGAAAACAAAACTTGACCTTAAAGTAAAAATCTCACAGTTCTTGCAGTTATTGCGACTTCAACATGGTGTTTCGACATTAGACCGATAACGCTTGACAGGTGATAGCCTTCGTGATTTTATGATCAATGAGATAGAGATAAACGATCTTCAAGTGTTCAGTTCTCGAGATACAGGGTGTTGAATTTGAGAGATAACTCAAGAATTATAGGATATTTTGCATTTAAATGCAGTATGTGGTTTCATCTTTGAATGGGTCATATTTTGAGCAGAGCCATTCCGGACATTTTCATGCAGTGGTGCGCTACATGGAATTGTGGTAGCTTTTACCCTGATTTCTTCTACGCCATCGATGACATTTCAATTATTTTCAGTTATTCCAATTCATTGTTCAATCTTCTTGAAGAATGCATCACATTCAACTGAGCTGAAATGAACAGTATTGAACCAAAATAGAAATTACCATATTAATTTGTCATCATTTTCAGTAGAAGATGATACAAACATATTTTTATGGTGGTGTGGAAATGTGATTTATTTCAAATTTCATCCTGTAGCTGAACAAACATAGTTGCTGCTTACAGAGAGAAGAAACGAACATTCTCCTAATTTTCTACTAGATACTCAAAATCGTGAAAAATTACTATGCAAATTTCTATTTTGGGTCAGAAATCTCGAATACTGTTCATTTCAGCCCAGTTGAAGATGAATCATTTTTCGAACAAAATTGAACAGTGAATTCGAGGAATTGAAGATAATCGGAATCTCATCAGTGGCGTAGAAAATATAGAAAGAGGAGTTACCACAACTCTCTGTAGCTCACGACTGGATGAGATATCCGGAATTAATTTCTTGTCAAAAAATGACCCCTTCGAAAATGCAACCATATACCGAATTGGAATGAGAAATATTGAATCATTCCCGAGTTATTACGAAAAAAGTATTCTCATTTCTTGAGTTGAAAACTGGACACTCAGATACCGTTTGACCCTATCTCAGTGATTATGAAATCACGAAGGCGATCATATGTTAAGCGTCGATCGTATTCGGAAACACACTGTATACAGGCTGATTCAAGGTAAATAGCACATTAGATGTTTCTGATGAACCAGACTTTTTTCGTGGAGAGTTATTCTCCTTTCGTGCGCTCCAAGCGATAAAAAAAAATCAAGGTTGACTACAAAAGGATGTGCTGACTGGGCTTGTCGAGTTCGTCTCACTGGTATTGCCAGTGATTGAATGAACACAGTGTGCGACAAGTGAAATTTTTTTTTTGAGATGGTTGAAATCCTTTATGGACACTATTTGGGTCTAATCTCCTATTTGATAGAGTGGGATAGTGTGGCAGTTCCCTATAACTCCAGGGTATACCCACTAAACACTCCACCCCGTTTTTAGGCTCGTCTGACTGATGTCTCCGTCGACACTTGATGCACTCATGGTGCTCATTAAGGGCCACATCTATATATGAGGAGGCCAAACGTTTTCCTTCTACGAGTGACGGGGAAACGGGTTGGTTCAGCCCTGTGGTGCCCCCTTCTCTGCTGTTTACTCAGGCTACTTTCACATGCATTCGTTTTCACGGATCTACGTTTGCGTGATTCACGTACACAAGTTTGGGTTCATTCCGAGTGGAATGGTTCCGTGAGCTCCGTTGATGTTCCTATTTTGCGCAAATATCTCTAAGAAATATAACAATATCGTAGCAGAACATGATGAAGAGGATAGTCAGAAATTTGTATATATTCTATTTATTATGGATAGCAGAGACACAGGATGTCAAAAGAAAAATCGTAGATTCTGGACCTATCTTCACAGACAATTTTCGAAGATTTCATGACGCAAGTGAATATTTGGATAGAGGAATGGAGGGAAACTGCAATGGAAAGTTTTTCAATTATTCCAGAATGTCGCCTAATATGTTTTTTCTGCAACCGACACAAAAGTCGTCCATTTTCATACCAAAATTAGCTCTTAAATTGACGTTTCTATTACTGACACAAAAATAGGTATGTTGCTAGGCAACATTATTTAGTTCCTAGGAGCTAAAGTTGAATTTTAGTTCCTAGGAGCTAAAGTTGAAGTTTAGCTCCTAGGAACTAAATAGGATGTACTGGACGTCATCAAGAATAAACAACATTGTGACGGTTGGTTATTTGGGTTAAGACGCATACCTGATTTGTTTCCGATTTCAGCAGATTTGGCATTTCAAACCCATGCTGGAGATATAAATACACCTTATTATAGTTTAGTATTGGAATTATAAACATCTCAGTTAAGTATTTTTGTTTTGATCAGGTAAGCCTTCAAGATTCAAATACTTGCTTGATCTGTATTTCATTCGTTATTCTAGGGATGGATAACTTTTTTTTTGAATAATCACAGCAAGCAATAGTTTTTTTGTCTCAAACAACGATATTGTTTAGCTTCATTTGATTATCAAGTCAAACACAGTGTAGTATGGAGAGGAATAAATAATCACTATTATCATTGTTGATATGCTCACTAACCTAACATTTTCCACGTCTTGTTCCTATAGCTGGCACTGGCGCTGTATTTGCCATCAGAGCACCTGGTCCACACACAAATATGTCACTCTGTGGTTGTATTTATATTGAAACTACAATTCGAACATCCTAGAAAACCTAACCTGCTGTTAATGCAGGTAGAATATTTTCACCACATGAATTATTTGTCAATATTTGTTGCATTGCTTACATATGGCAAGGCATTGGTGGTTACTTCACATGTTTATTCGAGTTAATTGTTTCGGTTGCAGAAAAAATAGCATGTTTCATTCGGATCAAAAGTGACTTTGTTCGACTCGCAAATTTTTGCTTTCGCTCGGCTTCGCTAAACGCTCCGCCTCGCAAATGCAAAATTTGCTTGTCAAACAAAGTGTCACTTTTGATCCTAATAAAACAATCCACTATTATCTATTGCTCGGACTCTTGGAGACTAAACTTGAAAAAAAACAAGAACCAGATTAGAAGTTACGCTTCGTTATTTGGCATCTGGTGACAGTATGACTTCTATTTCATATCTTTTTCGTGTTGGGATTTCTACAGTCTCAGAAATTATGCCTGAAACATGCCTTTTAAGGCATTTAGAACACATCCATGGAAAAACTACAAACACATCCCACAAAGTTTATGAGTTTTCGACGGTTTAGGAGAAAATCGAAGGAATTAAAATATTTACTTAACCTAGCTTTCTTCTCATCACGGACAAATTAAACGGAGGAAACTTAATGTTGAGCCGACTGGGTACGTTGCGATTGCCGACTCATCCGTGTCGATCTCTATTGGTCAATATATCCAACGGATCCGTGAAAACGGATGCATATGAAAGCAGCCTGAGATGTCGCCCTGTTTCCCGGGTTTCCACAGTTCGCATTAGGTTGCCAGAACCTCGTTGACTACTAGACAGATCGCCCTATCATCACCACAGATGTCCACAAATGATTGTCCCATCTGGCCCAGAGATAGCAAAGATGTTCCCAAAATGCTCTTCTATCGAGTGGCCGCGGTCTGTCCTTCCCAAACCACTTAATGGTGAGGTTGGGCTTGCAGATGAAAAGGAAAAGAGAAGTTGGCCAAGGAAGGCCGATAGGATAGATTGTAAAAGGAAGAGAGAAGAGGATATCACCCAAGACAAGTCGAAGTTTGGTGAATATCTGGCTAGGGTACCTTGGGTTAACATTCCCGTACCAAACAAGTTGCTGAATATGGTCGCGATTCTCGAATTATTCGAGAACAAAATGAAAAAATTACCTTCAAACGTTCTCCTTCTGCTCCGTTCATCAACTACGGATCAGGACTATCAGTATGTTGTTTACATCACTTCCCCCTACCACTAGTACCACTTTACAGATATTTACGACAACATGATATTTTTCTCCCATTTTTTGTTCGTTTACTGGACGTGCGAAAAAAAGTAAGGTTCCTATTTAAAAATGAGAAATTGGGTGCCCTGTTCAGAGAGTAAGT